CTGACGTCACAATGTAGCGCCAAACAGCACGTACAAAACGATCAAATCAAGTACGCTATTTCAATGTCGTTAACGAGTTAAGTTTTACATTTATTTCACTTTTAAAAATGTGTATTTCGCTTGGAAATTCATAGACTGAAATAGACTGAAATAAAATAAACAAACAAAGTTTTATCAACGTTTCCAAAATTCCAAAACGTTTCCAAAATTCGTTATTCTCAAAATGTTTCTACACACGGTAGATTTAACGGCAGTTTTTTCAACCCACTTGGTCTTTAAAGAACGTTTCTATTGGAAACTCTGAGACGAAAACAAATTTAACCACCAAACATGAAGTCCAACTTTTTAATAATAATTATATTTTTTCTTGACGTGTTAGAATGGAAATAGATATTAATTCTACGTGCATTATTGTATAATAATGCACGTTTTTCGTTCAAATGCTTTGTAATTAATCACTCAGGCCTATCGGCCTTCGTGATTATATAACTACGCATTTGAACTCAAACCGTGCATTATTCTTCAACAATGCACTCAGAATTGATATCTATTTCCTAAGTAAAACACTGGAAAGCATTAAATAAAATGAAATAACAGGGTTTTTTTTTATTCCACTGATATATTTCTATAAACTACCAAAAAGAATGTAATAATAACAGGATATGTTTTCGTATGAGTGAAATATGGAATATAATTTCACGAAACATGATAAAATGCAACATATTTTTTCCGAGCCGTAACAGTCATGTTAAGTGAAATTCTAACACTCCACTGATTTTGTCACTATAGACAAAGAAGAAGAAAAAAACGGTAATAAACTGCCAATAATCGCTTGTTAGGGACTACTTGTATATGCGGCTGTTATATTTTCACCCTTGGTTATATAGTTTACAAAGTCTTTTCAAACAACAATAACAAGCATTTTTTTATATTTTCAGTTCTTGTAATGTTTTCTTTTCAAACAATACCGAAATATTATTTAATTTTACCCATGAAATATGGTGCTATATTAGTCAAATTTGTAAAAAAATAAGTATGAAATATAAATATAATAGTGGCCAGAGTCAAAACTCATGTTTATTTTAAGGGACTTCTTTCGCCATTTTGTTTAAAGAATCTGATAAATAAAAACAAATTTTGTTCTACAAAATACATAGAATGATAGAAAATGGTATAATTAAGAAAATGAATCGAACACCAATATCTTTAATTCAGTCATTAACGCTGTGCAGACGTTTAAATAGTTGTTTACGTGACGTCACAATGTAGCAACCAAACATCGCGCGTGTTTAAGATTAAATATATTACTGCGCGCTGTACAATTGCAGGTGCGTAGCAAGCAAAGGGATTTTTGACCATTTTTCTTTGATAATAAAATTAAATAAAAAGGTAAATTGTTTCGTTTTTCGTTAAATATGGTATATGTGTATATATATATATATCACTCAACATGATAAAGTGCCACACATTTTTACTCGCTGTCCCGGCTCGTGAAAATATGTTGTATTTTTTCATGTTTCGTGAAAATATATTCCATATTTCACTCAAATTAAAAATATCTTACCCATAAAATATGGTGCTATATCAGTCAAATGTATTTGATATTTTTAAAAAATAAATATGAAATATAAAGTGGGCGGAGTCAAAACTCATATTTATTTTAAGGGACTTCTTTCGCCATTGTTATTTATTTATCAGATGTTTTAACAAAATTGCGGAAGAAATACCTTAAAATAAATACAATGTATGTAAGATTGAAATTTATCACACACCAGTGCCGATTTTGCGACTCTGTTAATATGGTATTGCACGACTGTGCATATATTTTGACGTGACGTCATTAGCGTTATACAAACAAAGTGGTGTAAAGACGCGCTAAATGTTAGCGTTATACTATAGGCGCGTCAATGAAAAAAGACTCTTATTTCACTTTAAGCGGTCCTTATTTTGGGTATGTGATAAAAAGAATATTAAATTCGTGTAAGTTCATTACTGAATTTATTGCACTCGTTGAATAAATTAATATTATGCTAGCCAGAGGCTCGCATAATATAATTTTATTTAACTCGTGCAATAAATTCAGTATTGAACTTACACTCATTCAATATCCTCTATATATTTCACTGAGTGAAAATAGAGTAGCTTGTGTTCACAAATGAAATATTTTTCAATACTATATGTAAAACAAATAAATTTTCTTTTTATTTTATGCTTTTTAATTGTTTTAAGTATTTTTTTACTGATTTTGCCGCGTAACGTCGCGCATTCTCCTTTAAGACGTCATCAATTATTACGTCACATCATCAACTTTAAAATATGCCGATAGTTCTGTTAAATGTCTCTGATTTTGTCATTTTTAACATGATGTATAATACAATCAACTTTCTTTCCTAAAAGAAGCAAATTTACGTATGACGGCATTTTTTTTGCCTGTTATTCCATTTAGTTATGATATTCCAGATATAATCTGGCTACAGTGATTTTTTTTTTACAAAGTTCACTAGTGGTTTATCAAAATATAATCATCTGATATATTACAGTAAAACACTGGAAAGCATGAAATAAATTCCGATCTTGTACTGAACTAGACAAATATCCTATATAAATTTCACTGACATATTTTTATAAACCACCGAAAAGCATTTGATAAATTTCTTCTTCAAATAAACCGTGGCGCAGGAGTGTAATAAAGTCATTTATTACATGCTTTTTGTCGGTTTATAGAAATATATTAATTTAGTGGAATAATTTTATTTCATCTCGTGAGCTTTAAAAACAGTATTCTCACGAGTGGCGTAGCCACGAGTGAGAATACTGTTTTTAAAGTTCACGAGATGAAATAAAATTACATCTTACACAACAAACAGACAAAATTTCTTTTTATTTTATGCTTATAAAAACAAGTTAAAACGAAATTTCCATAATTTTAACGTTAATATTAAAATGTGTTTCCCCCATTGAGAGCCCCATTTAGACGGAATTTCTCATTTAAAACAAGAAGTCTTGAGCTGAAAAATAAGTCCGCCAATCAAGGTTAAATGACGGTGATATTTATTCATTTTATTAAAAAAATATGAATGATCGCTTGTTTTAATAATAAAAACAAACAATTCTTGCAGGAGAAAATTCAAACCATCCATCCATATTTCTGTTACTTACTGCGAATTTATATTAGACCTGGCTTTCTAAAATGTAAACGGCAGCCATTTTTTAAAGTTGTGTATTTCATGGGAGGAAAATAATTGTGTAAGATTCAGAAGGATATAATTTGGATTTGTTAGTCATACACCTTTTAAAAAGAAAGAAAACTTATTTGAGGGGATATAATTTGGATTTGTTAGTCATACACCTTTTAAAAAGAAAGAAAACTTATTTGAGGATTGTAACAGACAAAAAATAAGTGTTGACAGAAGTGAAAACATTCAGAAAAGGAGCTAGGAAAATGGAAAACTTGGAAGCTTGCTGAAGGAACGCTGGGTTGTTTTACTTATTTTACGAGTGATGGCTGTCAATGCTTTTCAATTTTTCATAAAGCACACGGCAGTTATTGCTCGTAGGATACTTTAATATGCCCAAATGTCATCAAGAGCAGTTTTGCATGGGGAAGGAATGTATTTTTCAGACTGTAAAAACGAAACAAAAAAATTTAGAGACGAAATTTGGTGATTGAAATTTGAAGGAATAGAAATAAGTTTTCTCTCTGTGTTACTTATGACATTTAAGTTATTTATCTATTTCAGCTTTGCTATTTCTTTTAACAGCCTGACATTGTCAGAATTGTCAGTAAAAATAAAATTGAGGTACCACATGGGGAAAATCTTAAAAAAGTAGTTTCGTCATTGAAAAAAGTGAAATTATATTTTGATAATTTTCACTGTGAAATTATCAAATATAATTTTCACGGATAAATCAGTAATCCACTGAAAAGCATAAAATAAAAGGGGAAAATGACGGGCACGCGGTAATTAGAAAATTGTGCGATCATAAAACGATCATAAATTTTTGTTGTAATTCGGGAATGACATCTACAAAAACATTTGATAAAAATCAGCAGACTAACAGTTAAAATAAAAGTTCACGATCATTAGTGTTAAAGTGGTATAAGAAATTAAGTGAAGAACATTACTTTGAGAAGCAGTAACCGTCATTGACCGCGTAACGTTGAAGCACAAGTTGTACATTAATATTATGACGTTGACGTCAATAACTTTTTGGAGTGCGCCGCTGTCGCTGACATGTGTTGATGTAAAATTAAATATTGTTGTAATGAAAGAAGCTACTCACATAGATTTTTCCGTATGTATTTGTTATTTATTCTTCTAAGCAGTGTAAACATTTCAAATTAATATCTCAAATATATTTTACGCAACAAAGAAAGTCCACGAATATTTGAATAACCCCTCGTAAGTGGTTACGCCGACGCAGACGACGACACCGACGCCGACGCTCTGGTGACTACAATAGCTCTACTTATTCTTATCGAATAGTCGAGCTAAAAAGAAAATTTGTTTAGTTTAATGTAAGATCGAAATATATTTCGCCTTGTGAACACCAAAAGTTCATATTTCACTCGTTGCTGCGCCACTCGTGAAATATACCTTTTGGTGCTCACTCGATGAAATATATTCCGATCTTACACTGAACTAAACATTATATCCTCTATTAAATAAAAACGATGTTACACTAAGTGAAATAACACTTTGACGTGACGTCATTTGCACTATAAAGAAACATAGCGTTATTAAAGGCGCGCTAATGTTAGCGTTGTACTATAGGCGGATAATTAAAAAAAATACCCATTTTAACAATTTACTGATCTTATTTTATATATGTGATGAATAGAATATTATTTTCGTGTAGATTCAATACTAAATTTATTGAACTCGTTGAATAAAACAATATTTTGCTCGGCAGAGGCTCGCATAACATGATTTTATTCAACTCGTTCAATATATTTAGTATTAAACTACACTTATTCAATATCCTCTATTTCTTTTTAGATTGTGACTATGGAGATAAAAAGCCATTTTGTGTAGGAATGTCATTACAACAGTGTCGAAATAACTTTGAAACTTGCTGTAAAACATGCCAAGATATACGATTAGATATTCCAGGTAAAACAAATTTTACTTCATTCCTATTTTGCATTTACGTTTAATCTTTCTTTCTAAAACGTACTGTTTTAAGCTATGTTAAGATGTCTGTAATTAGTAGGATACTTGTCTTTATAAAAGTTATTGCGAAGTTCCTAATTCAACAATTTAGTGTTTGAAACTTTCTAAAAATGAGGATTACGCAATCTCTAAAAAAACAAGAGGGCCATGATGGCCCTGGATCGCTCACCTGACACAACCGCATCCAAGCAATGTCTAAAACAAGCATCATGGCCAAGATTGATGACAACTGAGTCAAACATGTGACCTATAGTGTGTTATAAAGATTTTTCCATATTTGGGCAATGTGACCTAATTTTTGACCGGACACGACCCATATTCAAACTTGACCTAGAAATCATCAAAACAACCTTCCTGATTAATTTCCAGGAAATTTGGATCAAAACTGCATCCACTAGAGTGTTAAAAAAGATTTTTCTATTTTTAGCTCCTGTGACCTAGCTTTTGACCGGAGATAACCCATCTTCGAACTTGACCTAGAAATCATCAAAACAACCTTCCTGACAAATTTCCAAAATATTTGGATGAAAACTGCAGCCCCTAGAGTGTTAACAAGCTTTTTCTATTTTTAGCTCATGTGACCTAGTTTTTGACCGGACACGACCCATCTTCAAACTTGACCTAGATATCATCAAAACAACCTTCCTGACAAATTTCCAGAATATTTAGATGAAATCTGCAGACACTAGAGTGTTAACACGCTTTTTCTATTTTTAGCTCCTGTGACCTAGTTTTTGACCGGAGATGACCCATCTTCGAACTTGACCTAGATATCATCAAAACAACCTTCCTGACAAATTTCAAGAATATTTGGATGAAAACTGCAGCCACTAGAGTGTTAACAAGTTTTTTCAATTTTTAGCTCCTGTGACCTAGTTATTGACCGGACATGACCCATCTTCAAACTTGACCTAGATATCATCAAAACAACCTTCCTGACAAATTTCCAGAATATTTGGATGAAAACTGTAGCCTCTAGAGTGTTAACAAGTTTTTTCTATATTTAGCTCCTGTGACCTAGTTTTTGACCAGACATAACCCATCTTCGAACTTGACATAGATATCATTAAAACAACCTTCCTGACAAATTTCCAGAATATTTGGATGAAAACTGCAGCCTCTAGAGTGTTAACAAGCTTTTTCTATTTTTAGCTCCTGTGACCTAGTTTTTGACCCGAGATAACCCATCTTCAAACTCGATCTGTATTTCATTGAGACAAACATTCTGACAAAGTTTGATGATGATCCGATCAAAACTGTGACTGCTCGACTGTTAACAACCCAATTGTTGACGACGGACGCCGGACATAGCCCCATCACTATACCTCACCTTGACCACTTCGTGGTCAGGTGAGCTTAAAAGGTTCAAACACTTGACACAACGTTTCATCACATTAGTGCTGAAACGGATTAACTCCAATTGATGTTAAAAGAAAGTTAACCTCTTGCTTCACTTAGGTGACGTGTTGTGACAGCATTCTTCGTATTGTAAACATCAAATTGAATAAGTGTAAGTTTAATACTGAATTTATTGAATGAGTTGTATAAAATTTTATTATATTATTGAGAAATATTGATGAAATAAAATGTGTCTTTCATTTTCCATATTTTCACTGTGAAAAAAAATATGTTTCACTTTTTTTCACCGGTGTCTTGCTGGAACACGTTTTTTTTCTAAGTTCTGTCAAAATACAAAAGTCATGTGAAAGTCTTTCAAATTGTAATGTTACAAGAGAAAAATGTATATAATAAACGGATGATTCAAGTTTTTCCTATAAATAAAGGATTTATTTTATCTTGTGGGAGGAATACAAACTTACTGACTTGATGTCGTAAATGACGTCACGTTGTATTATTATTTGGCACACTTTCCATTTACCATTAGGTTAAAATGCCTTGCATATAATGAAAAGAACATTTGTTTAGTTCAGTGTTAGATCTGAATATATGTCACCGAAATGTATATTTCACGGTTAGTGCAGCCACGAGTGACATATGAAATTTTCGTGTTTATGAAAATAATTATCATATTTCCCTCGTGGCTACCGCCACTGAGGAAATTTTTATTTTCATTACACTCCTGTTTCTATAGAAAAAAAAAACTTGAATATCCTCTGTATATTAAACTAGCCTCTGGCAAGCATTATATTATTTTATTCACAATATTTTATTCAACGAGTTCAATAGATTAAGTAATGAATATACACGAATTTAGTATTCTATTTATCATATACCAAAAATAAAGATCGTTCGGAGTGTAAAAGGATCAGTTTTCATTGACAGGCCTATATATGTAAAACGGTAACGTTTTAGGCACGTCTTAACTCTATGATAATGTAATGAAAATGACGTCACGTCAAAATATTTGCACATGTTTACCATTAGAAATAATAACAAATATCCATATTTGTGTCCTCTCATTTAAAGTAATGTAAATATTCTCGTATAATCATTCAATATATATGAACGTTACAGAACAAAATGTTAATTTTATCTATATTTTTCGGACTTGAGCAAAGCTCCTTGTTCACAAAAAAAGAGAGAAAAAAAAGATTACAATACATAATCTAAACGCAAATACATGTAAGCAGATCTTACAATCGTCACATCAAAATATATGCTCGGATTCAACTCGTATTTATTCAACTCGTTCGATAAATTCAGTATTGAACTTACACTCAGCAAACATCCTCTATTTATCACATCCTAATGCCATCCTAATACAAGTTATAAATAAACTTTACAAGTGAAATGTAAACTAATGTTATTGAAATTTAAAATTGCTATAGAATTTAAAAAGATATTTAGGTAAATCAAGCTATTATGTTTTGTTGACTACTGTTTATTTCAGGTTGTCCTTGGGGTGATGAATATACTGACTGTACTCAGAGTCATTGCACCAGTGATTTTTCGAAATGTTGCCAAACCTGTACCCCAACTACTACAGCTATTTATACAACCGCCTCCGCTAAATCGAGCCGAGTGCAAGTTAGCCCCGCGTTATTGTTCTGTTTGTATTTATATCAATTTTATTCATGGATTCTGTCGATACGTTGATATATTTATTTTAATTGTACTGGGGTAAAAATTATGCATTAGGTTAAACCATCGGGATCTTTTTATTGCATTTTTTGCAGAAATTTTCCCCGTGCAACATGCCGATACTTTACTTTTTTCATTTTTTATTGTTACTTCACTTTCAGTCGTCATGCAACGTTTAATACTGATCTATCCAACATAATTCGATTAAACTTTAAATCATTTCACTTAATCGAAGATATAATATAATCTTTCTCATAGAATTTTAGCAAATTTTGGCAGTTTTTAGTTAATTCCCAAAGAAAAGTTTTTAAAAGAGCACTTTAATTGAAAAGGTTAAAACGTAGGATAGCGAACTTCGTTGTTTTTATCATTTTTTTCTTAAATAAAATCCATTTTACCATGCAAAGCTTAAGAAAAGTATCTGCTCTACTTTAAATATTCATTCTTTTCCGCTGTAAAATATTAAAAATTTGATGTTGTCATTGTGTCTTTGTTATCGCTGAAGTAAAAGTTTAGGGTATTTTGCAAGTTTGCCAGAAATATTTTGAACAAGAAACTATGATATAACAGGATGGCATTTATTTCGGTAATGACACTGTATTTCTTCGGTAACGTAGATTTCAGATCTAATAATGTAACATATTGGCTGCATATTAATAACAAATGTCTGTAAAATATACCCAAATCTGTAAATGTTCTATCTAGAGGGACTTTCTAACCCAGGAAAATTCAAAGAAGTTTGGTACCTTGCTAATTTTCAGTCAATTTCTTAAATATTCGTAGAAAGCAAAAATAGTCAATTTTGGAAATGATTATTTTATGTCTTCATTCAAAGGATATATATCATATATAATATATGAGAGGTCGAATGCATACACAAATTTTGTATTAGCATTTTTTTTCCAAAACATTCAACTTTCCACTTTCTTAATATTTGGAAAATTTAGTACAAAGCAGTTCGATATTTATCCCCATATAGGATGTCACGTATGTTTCATTTTATTCAAATGCAAGCAAAGGTTGAGTAAACAATTTTATTTTTTGTAAAATAATTTATATTTATGGATATTATTTTAACATCATTATAATATAGAATGAAATACGGCCAGTTAGCTTTTTGCAGAAACGAATTAGTTGTTGCTGAGAACATCAATATCTTGTAATATATTTTCAACATTTCTGCTGATACATCAACATATTATTAACATATCTTTCCTTTGTAAAAACAATTTTGTGTCTTCTTACATCTAATACAAGGTAACCGTTACTAACAGGCATGCTAATCCCAACTTTATCTTTAATTTTCAAAAGTTGTTGAATTGTAAGTTGGAGTAACGTATGTTTCACACTCGCTTATTTAAGAACTTTATCACGGAATTTAAACTTACATGTAAAATCGACTTTTTTTATTTAGGAATCAAATGCACATCATTCTATTGTCATAAAAATGCGATTTTATGTTTTTATATATGCATGTGTAAACAATATAAAGTCTGTTTGATAAAAGTAACGTTTGTTTCACTGTGGTTACTTAAACAAGCAAAAACTCGACCAAAGTTAACAAAATTTACTTACTAATGTCAAATAGATGTTAATGTTGCTGTTATACCCGCTTTCTGACTACAATTTTCCTTTTTATAAACTTACTTTAAAAAGTTGATAACGTATGTTTATGTAACGTATGTTTCATTTTTACATTGAAAGTGGGTTAAAAAATGACGCAAGACCGTTTAAGCCGCCATAATTTGTGGTTAATTTATCAGTGTTACACACATGTAAATTTTCTTTCTTGTTTGGAATCTTCTTTGAATGGATTGGCTCTTAAATAATGGTAACGTATGTTTATTTTTAAAGTGCTGTTGAAAAGATTTGAATAAAAAATGAACATTTCCGAAAATAGAATGATATTTGAGAGGCTGCAAGCTTATTTTTACTTATAATTATTAATATGCTGTATTATTAAGCATGCATCGATTCAATTATGTAATTTGAGTTTCACTTCTTATTGTTATAGGTTTGTCACTATTTATTTATATGCATTTGGCGACATTTGATCATCCTTTATACCAATGAAATTTTAACAGTCAAATATAATTTTTACCAATAATCAAAGTTCATATACACACAGCAATGACTAATTGCACATGTTTTATTCTGGAACTTATTTTTCTGAAACACAATTTCAAAGTTGAAAATTCCAGGTGGCGACAGTAACGTATGTTACATTTTAGGACATTAATGGTACTTGTAAATGGTAAATACTAAATAACAGATAGAAATGTAAAACTGAGAGTGCCCCTATTAGACAAAGTGACAGCCACCTTTCTAACGACATTTTGACCTCAAGAAAAACCTTCGTATAAGAGCTAACCAGTGGAACATCAAATTTTGTGTTTTATTGAGAATGAGCGTGTATTGGATTGTGACTGGCCATGAGAAACAGTAAACTTGGCAACTAAATACATTGTACCACTTTATCAGTTTTCAATCTTAATGAAATCAAATCGAGCCTTTAGATAAAAGTCGTTTGCACTGTTGTCAATGATCTGTAGGGGTCCATGTAAAAGGCGATGCTAGATTATATATTATTACATAGCAAATTCAGTAATAACTTTAGCAAATCTGTCAGTCATTTGCTAAAAAAGGAAATGTAGGTCGGCAACAAGATAGCTTTATTTTGAAATGGGCATGTCATTTCATAATCTCTGGATTATTGTCAATGTTTTTATACAAAAAAAGCCCATGGTTGAAATGAACTTTCATAGATTAAATGGTTATCTTTACAAAATAAATACAAACATACTTTGAGTTTTCACTTATTTTAAAAGTTATTAGTTATTATTCAACCATATTTTCACCATTTTCAGTTTACCCTTTAAAGGGTACAAAGCTATATTTCATGAAATATATTTATAACATTTATCAAAATTTACATAATATATTATATACATATTTTTCACAATCTCATGGTCGATTCTTATAAAGAGTTTTTAACATAGAATGTCCCTGTAATTGGATACTCCTGAATACTACACGTAAACAGAATAAAATATTGCAGAACAGACTACATAAGGTTAAATCTATTTAGCAGTGATTTCATAATACGTCATTTGCTTTTAAAAATATTTACATATTTATTTCATATAAGCATTTCATATAAGCATTTTGGAAGTCTTTCTTTTTCATTCAAACAACAACTTTTGCAGCAGATCTAAACATAGCTTTATACACTTAAATTATCATTGTGATTTGTGAAACTCTATTTGTTTTAAGTCATAAATGAAAAAAAGGGTTTAAATTGTCAAACGTACTGACAGTAACGTTGTGCTAATGAAATAAAAATAGAAATAATAGTTGTAAAGAGACTATAGAAAACATATTATTTCTGTTGTAAATTTGCAATAAAAGGTGAAAATAAAAGAGCTTCTGAATAAAAATACAATGTGACGCCTTTGCTTTTTAAAGTTTATTCAAACAGAAAGGGAATTCGGTTGATGGACATTTAAAGAAGAATATACATTCTTAATTTCATTATACTAACTGTGAATTGTGCTTCACGAGAACATCAAGGACCAGAAAAATATAACGACACTGAAGTGAAGTGAAGTACGGGGCAACTTTTTACAGCGGCCACACAGCACTTGACACCTGCTGTTGTGAAGTAAATAAAATGGAAACGAAATGATCCCTCGGAAGCATTAATTACAACACAGTTACAAGAGAATTGCAGACTAGGTTAGATTGAGTCTGTACATGAGGGATAATGAATACGTGCACATCCCTCACGACCCCTAGCATCGGCTTGAGCTGTACTCAATTCTCAACACTTAATAGTGCTGGCATCGAATGACAATGATCCCGAAGGACCAGAAAAATATAACAACACTGAAGTGAAGTACGCCCCGTACTCGGTTTGATTGGGTCTGTACATTAGGTATAAAAAGTTGCCCCAACTTTTTACAGCTGCCACACAGCACTTGACACCTGTTGTTGTGAAGTATAAAAATCTGGAAAAGAAATGATCCCTCGGAAGCATTATTCACAACAAATTACAAGAGAATTGCAGACTCGGTTTGATTGAGTCTGTACATAAAGGATATTGAATACGTGCAACATCTCTCACGCCCCCTAGCACCTAAATACACTAAACACCTTCTTCCAATCAAACTTGCAACACGCTTGCTGTTTTGAATTCTGTTTTTCTCTAATGTATGGCTAAATCTAACTAACTCATCGTTTTGATGTGAACAAAATTAACTACGCATCAAAACTCAATCAAACTGGTGTTAAATAGCCGATAAACACCGCTAAGATCGGTGTTATTTCGATTATAACAAGATAAAATAAGTGATCTACTCTTTTTTTTCTTTTCTTTTTTAAGAGAAGATGACTTCCGGTGCCAAGTTTTGCACAACGCTGTTCAATTTCGCACCCTATTGTTGTTAAGATATGGAAATTATTTAACAAAATAAATAATAAGAAAAAAGTTATTTTATCAAGTTTTCAAAAATAAAAACTTACGTCGCAGACAAAATTGAATTGTGTTAACAGCAGTGTTTAATTTATCATTATTTTTTTTTTAAATAACGTTATTCTAGCCGTTTATGAATGTGTTGTTTACATAGGATGACGTCATTACGCTGCTTACGGATTGGCGCCGTTTGTCAAAATATTTCAAATCCGTGGCGTTAGTGTATGTGAGATATTATTTTAGTATTGTATGTAAAAAAAATAATTACTACAAATGTTTTTTATCGATGCTTTAAAGGCTTTGTAAACTATATAATCGAGTGAGAAATCATAACAGTCGCATATACAAGTAGTCCCTAACCAGTGCTTTTTGGCAGATTAACACCGGTTTTTAGTTGGGACAAAGTCACAACTATAGTCTGTCCCATCAAATTTGAATATTCCATTTTTTATTTAATATAATAGTAAAATCATTTAAATTTATGTCATGTTAACCCTAACGTCAATATATCTAGGCATGTTTACTTACTGATCAATAGCTAAATGTTATCATTAAAATGAAAAATGATAACAAAGTTGGTGTCAGAAAGGCAATTTTACCAGTAAACAATCAAAATCATTTAAAGTGAAAATATCAGTAACCGCTAAATATAAATTCTAACACACAAAGATTTATATAATTACCATGATAATATACATGATATAATACCGTATTTTATATTATTTTAATAAAAGAGAATAAGACCAATAAAGTGATTTGATTAGATAGCTTTTCAATCAAGCGCGTATCTTGAATACAGCAACGCGCCGTAGGGGAACGGGAAGACTAACTAGAAGACTATAAAAATGGTTATTCGCTTATTAATGTTTTATTTACATAATTCTGTAGTTGCCTGAATTCTGTCCATTAGTATGTATCACGTCTATTCAAAAATAATTAAATTGACCAGGTTCAAAAATATGTTTTTCGGGTGCGATGTTGGTGTGCTTAAACCTTCCGTAGGTTTCAACTTTCACAAGAAATCGCCAACAAATTCTAGATACATTATCATGCAAATCTGACAAGAAATATATAACAAGAGGGTCATGATGGCCCTGAGGTCGCTCACCTGTATATAGCTCCCCCCCACACACACACACCCATAAGAAGATGTTTCATGCTAAACATCTAAGCATTAGCTAATTGGGCTTTTTAAAAGAATACTTTTTTTAAAGTTTTTACTACACACATATAGTTAAAAACAATGACACCCCTGGGGCGGGGCCAGTTTTGACCCCAGGGCTTTTATTTGAACACACTATGTAGACACTAACTAGAAGATGTTTCATGCTTAATATCTAAACTCTAGCTGTTTGGGTTTTTCCAAAGAAGATTTTAAGTTTTTGCTATACACATATTAGGAAAATCAATGACCCCGGGGCGGGGCCAATTTTGACCCCAGGGCTTTTATTTGAACAAACTTTGTAGACACGTTTTTTTCAAAGAAGATTTTTAAAGTTTTTGCTATACACATATAAGGGAAATCAATGACCCCCGGAGCGGGGCAAATTTTGACCCCAGGGATTTTATTTGATCAAACTTGGTAGACACCTATTAGAACATGTTTGATGCTAAATATCTTAGCTCTAGCTCTTTGAGTTCTTTAAAAGAAGACTTTTTAAGGTTTTACTATATGCATATAGGGAAAATCAATGACCCCCTGGGGCGGGGCCAATTTTGACCCAACGGCTTTTATTTGCACAAACTTGGTAGACACCTATAAGAAGATGTTTCATGCTAAATATCTAAGCTCTAGCTCTTTGGGCTTTTTAAAAGAAGTTTTTTTTAAAGTTTTTACTATACACATATAGTTAAAAAACAATGACACCCCTGGGGCGGGGCCAGTTTTGACCCCGGGGCTTTTATTTGAACAAACTTTGTAGACACTTACTAGAAGATGTTTCATACTTAATATCTAAACTCTAGCTATTTGGGCTTTTTCAAAGAAGATTTTTAAGTTTTTGCTATACACATATAAGGAAAATCAATGACCCCGGGGCGGGGCCAATTTTGACCCCAGGGCTTTTATTTGAACAAACATTGTAGACCCCTATTAGAACATGCTTGATGCTAAATATCTTAGCTCTAGCTCTTTGAGTTCTTTAAAAGAAGATTTGTTAAGTTTTTACTGCATATGCATATATAGAAAATCAATGACCCCCTGGAGCGGGGCCAATTTTGACCCCAGGGCTTTTATTTGAACAAACTTGGTAGACACTCACCAGAAGATATTTCATGCCAAATATCTAAGCTCTAGCTCTTAGGTTTTTTTTAAAAGAAGATATTTAAAGTTTTTTCTTTCGGTTGCCATGGCAACCAGAGTTCTGCATGGAATTAAATTCTTTGAACAATTTTTAAAAGTGACCACCAAAGGAACTTTCCTGTGAAGTTTGGATGAAATTGGCTTAGTGGTTTATGAGGAGATGTCATTTAAAGTAAAAGTTTACGGACGGACGCCGGACAAAAAGCGATCACAAAAGCTCATCCTGTCACTTTGTGACAGGTGAGCTAAAAAGGAGAACTGATTCACTATAAAAAAACTCGCGTTCGAGGAAAATGTAAATTATAAGAATATAATATCATGCTTTCTAGTTTGAGAAATCAAACGTAGACCTATTCTACACCCCAAGCTCGTAAATACAGAATTAACTTTCCGTCTCACAAATTAACAAAATGTCCAGAAATACCGGCAGTGATTTGATATTTTTAAGAATATGTTTATTTGTTTGAATTAGTGTGTGTGTGTTTTGGTTTGTTTACCCTCGCCACCGGAAAGAGACCATATGGGCGAGCAAAAAGTTTGAATTGGAGCGTTCAATAAGCGACAATAAGTGTTCGAGGGAGAAAAATACCGCGTATTGTATATTTTGTAGCTAAAAGAGTAGGATTTACTGATGTCTTAAATAACGAGTTAATATGTACAGTAGGGAAATCATTTCTGAGGAATATATAAAATGGTTTAAAAGCATATTAAATAAAAACGAAGGTTATATCTGAATTAATGGAAGAAGTATTGTAAAGTCTGTTTAAAGTTATTTAAATGCTATCAAAAGTTTTATTGTTAATATATGTATAGAAGGTGTAATTTTAACAGTTAAAATGCAAAATCTGGGAAGACAATTTTTATCGAATACATCTTTGTAGTTTAAAATTGAAAAGTGTGTATTAACGTATAATTAGATGAGGAAACGATGAAACCGACAACTTTCGGTTTACTTTATGACCTACTTGACAAGCATATCAGCCGAATGACTTCCGACATCAGGTAATATGTTTAGCCCATAAGGTAGCCTATGTTTTAAAGTAATATATAGAGGATATTGAATGAGTGAAGGTTAAATACTAAATTTATTGAACGAATTAAATATAATCCTATTATGCGAGCCTCTGTCGAGCATAATATTGTTTTATCACATACACATCGTAGTAAAGCCATTTAATAATCAAAGTGCTGAAAGCACTGATGGGGGCGCAATATGTTGCATACAAAAATTCGAGATTTGTATAGCAAATTTACTTTAGGTGTTCCAATCTGATATCATTCTTCTTTCAAAGTTGAATAAGTGCCCATTTTGTACACAATATAATACTATCGCCTCCAAACTCTTGTCAAAATTGAAAATCATGAACCAAGAACATACTAACAAACCCAGGCAAAATGCATAATTGATATCATATATATATCATGAATAAACATTTTAAATTATGAGTGGGGCCTCCGTGGCCGAGTGGTGAAGGTCGTTGACTTGAGATAACAGGTCCCTCACCGCTGTAGGTTCGATTCTCACTCGGGTCGAAATCTTTCATGTGAGGAAGCCATCCAGCTGGGTTACGGAAGGTCGGTGGTTCTACCCAGGTGCCCGCTCGTGCCTGACATAATATCCGGAGGGGCATCTGGGGTCTTCCTCCAACCAATAAAGTTGGAAAAAATC